GTGGAAATCACGAAACTATATGGGAGCCACACAATCATACAAAAGAAAGTCAGTGTTAACGGCAAGAATGCTTTCTGATAAAATTTACAACCAGTCCTGCTGTCATGTTGGAATTCAGCCAATTGCAGGTGGCTGTTAATGTGCAACCAGGAATGATGATGAATATTCATTGCTGGAGTGTTTCTAGCCTGGAGGTTGGAGAACAACGGTTAGTGGGGGTGGCCTTTGGTCCCCGTGTCTTGCGTGTCACCCTGGGATCTGAGATATCTGATAAGCCGTCGAGCACTCAGAAACCACTCACACACAGCTAACGTCCCTTGATTAATATGTCCGAAGATCCACAAGCTTTTGGTGGAAAAATAAAATCCTGAAAACGGCCTTTTTTCCCAAAAGCTAGGCCTATATTTGTTGTGGAGCACTGTGACAAATCATGGCAGCAGTAACTTAAGACCATCACAGCCTGACCTGAAAAAAAGGTCTGGATTCTTCCCCGCCTAGAATATTTTAAAGTACATCACTTTGTAGAGACAGTCGCTATCCTACTAAATAAAAGCCTTTGTCTGCAAAACATTCTGGCAAATCTTTGAAACATCTGTAGAGATATTTTTCATAATAACCTGTTTCATTCCATTACAAAGATGAGAATTCAAAGATAATTAACTCTGACATCTTTAAAAACACACAATATTTATTCTTTTTTTGTTTTTGCAAACTTTACAGTGAATAGCACGTGCCACACATCCACCCAGGTAAACTCCACACAGAACACATTCACCCTGTCCCACACCCTACCCATGGGGCAAAAGGGGTGGGGCAGTGCCCGGCAGCCGTGCCCACTAAAACAGTCCACACCCGACAGAGCCTAACTCCTGCCTGGCTGCCGGCAATGACACACACAGCTCAACATTCCACAAGTTCAACAATTCTACAAAGATCCAGACTGATTTTTTGCATTAACTCATTAACTTAATGCTATGTAAGAATTTTAAAGATTTATGATTATACATTTAATTATATGTTGTACATGATTGTGGATGTGCACAGGGAGTGGCATATTGAAGTGTGTTATACCTGCTGTGTACAATGATAATAAAGACATTCTATTCTATGAAGAGTTGAATTCACTGACTGATTTAAGTTCCATTAATGTTAGTTTTCCTTAATATATTTGTTTTCATAATTCAATTTCTCAATGTCTCATTTGTCAGTGTATATCTAAGAGAGTCACTTTCATGGCTGCACTTAATTTTCCATGGTTTGTGTTGGAAAAAATTTAAAATAAAACAATTCTGTACAATGTTTAGCTTCCCGATTCATATAGAAAACAGCATAAAAATAGCTTTTATGCCCAACACGACGTTTGAACACTATAACTAACACTATGGCTCTGACTCTGGTCTCTATTGTGTAAATAAATGAACAAAAAACCCCAAACCTGCTGCCACTTCCCCCCCTCCCCCCTTTCTGTCTGCACATAGCCTACCACTATGGCAGGCAATAGATACTTCACCACAATGATGCAAACCAGATCTTCTTCCCGAATTTCCCCGCCACCGTGAACGACAGGCCTACGTGACATCTCACACATGCTCACACGCTCCAAGACAGGAAACAGTGGCTCACGTTCCCCCCCATCCCCCTCTTCCACCCACACCTCCCATTAAGCTGTGCTGCATTGAAAGTTGCTACCGACTGACACAAACAGCAAGCCACTGCCGGGACACGACCGTAAAACCCTGCCAAGACAACACTCCTCTTGTTAATACCCAAGATCACCCCCCCCCCCCCCCCCCCACGCGATTCTGCAGGCCGGCACAGTGACAACGGGAGAGGGTGGGGGAGGTCTGCCCCAGTGTGGGAACAGGAATCAGTGCAGGAGACTCAGATGCTGCTCAGCTGGATTTAGAATCAAGCCCGGCAGTGGTGAAGGAGTTTCCCGGTGACCTTTTACCCATTTTACCACCTACAGTAACGATTGGACCAAATATCTGGCCTGTGCTTAGCAAGGACATCAGCAGACTTCCATATCAGGTATAACAACATCTGAAAAATGCAAAGCTTTGCACCCACTTTCAGAATAAACATTTGCAAGAGCACATAATATTTGTCAATGAGAGAAAAAAAAATTACAAATCCTAAATGTTTCTTTAATTGTGCCCGACTTTCCTGACAAAGGGCGGCCATCTGACCCACATCCCCTGACCTTAAATCCACACAGGATATGCGTTAGGCAAACAGATTATATTATCGATGGGGCAGGATAAAGACAAGGTAATTCCTTAAAATCACTCGAAGAGTGAATGTAATCCTCCTCAATGTACACAGTATACCGAAAGTGACGTTCGGGGGTGGCTGGTAGGCATGGTAGCCTATGTGCTACACGCTTCTTCAATTCACCGTGGCAAACTATATACACAAGGCATGATTATCCATCTTTTTCCGTTAGAAAAATTAGCACCGTCCAAACGTACTTCAAAAAACAAAAACAGGTTCTAAGTTTCTTCTTACTAGCGTGTGTCGGCGACTGTTGTTCGGATATAATGTTTTGAATTAACCCAGAAAATGTGATTTGGAAATTCTGATGAATTACTGTAAATGGTTGTTTCTGTTTTATATTAATCGTCGCTCTTGGGTGTAAGTATGGGGGGGAAATGTTGTAATTAGACGTTTCAAATCATTTTAAAGACTGTCCTCGACATGTTTTTGTTTTGGAACTGTGAATTGATAAAACGTATTGGTTAGAAAGTTTGAAATGGAATTTAAAAAGCGAGTATAATAGCTAGGTCACTTGATAAATCTCGGGTTCGGGGGTACCCCGACGTAGGCACAGATAATCGGGCAACAAGCTGAAACTCTCAAGGGCACAAAGCAATATAGGTTTGTAAAGTAACTTTGTAAAGTGTCATTCAAGCCGCACATTCATCGTTGGAAAGTCTTTAAACCTTTACTCTGCCGACGCCACATTCTTTCCCGGTGAGACCCATGGGAAATTCTGAGTTAAATCATACACAGGGTGCTAAGGACTTTCCAGATACAGTTTGTTTTCGTAAAATCAGGAGGAGAAACACCGAACAAAACTGCTGAGAAAAAAAATCGATCGCCATACCGCAGTGACTGAACTAAACGGTTTTTTTTTTGGTCAGGAAGTATATCACGGGCCTGGAAACATGATATCAGAAAGGTGTATACCTATATACGTAAACACACACACACACGATAACACAATCACAGAGGAAAATCGCGTTAAATTTTAATCTGAGATCTGTTAAAAAGACTTAATTTAAGGCAAATCACAAACCTGTTTCTTTAGGTCCATTGGTTATATGTTACCTATGTGATCACATAAATATATTCTACATTAAAACAGACGCATGTGTACCGATTAATATTAACTTCCTAATGGCGCTAAAATGTTTTAAATGGTTACTAATTAACCGTTTTCCAGAATGGAAAATGATTACGAATTAAGCGCCAATTAAAATCTAGAGGTCAATTTAATTAATTCAGAGAAAACACAAAAGTGGCGTTAGAATAAAGAAGTAAACTCTTAGCAACATAGTCTAATTGAACATACACGCGTCTTTTCATCTTCAAATTTAGCAGAAATGTGTAAAAGGACGGCTATCCCGTGATGGAAACTTCATATTTAGGATAGCGGAGGCTAGACAGTGACGTCACCCAGCCGCGGGGAAGCCCGGCGGAAACTGCTGAGCGTGAGCTCAATATCCAATTAAAGGAGCATTAGGTGTATTATAACCCAGATAATAAGCCACGCACATGGCAAGTTCTCATACAAGGTGCTTTTCCTTAATATTTGTCATTAAATCCGACTGATGATGTTTAATAAGTGGAAACTGTAACCAAGATATGACCACTACTATTTTATAATTCTCATTTTAAATGATTTCGATTATCACTTATTTTATCTACGAAAAAAGCCAAACTTTCATAACATCCAAGTGCCTCGATATTTCGTTCGGTCTGCAAGAAGCCACTGGGTGGAGCCAGAATAACAATATGTTTTGTATGTAAAAGGTTATGAAAGCGTGACATCTTCTGGCAGTCGTGCATATTTGTAACTAGTCACCGCTTCCCATTCGTGAAAGTTAAAGGGCGGAAGCGAGTGTGAAAATTTGCGAATAATACTTGAGTTCGTTATTAAAAATCCAAAATTAACGACACTGAAAAGACAGCTAACACGTGAGATTGGTTGCCGAGACAAAGACATGCAGTGTTCCCAAGTCAACATGCATAGATCCCGCAGTATTAAATAACTTTTAAAAATAAATATATTAGTAATAATAATTGATACTCTATTGATCCCGGTGGGGGAATTCTCTTTATACCTCCCACACCTTGCTCTCTGTAGGTGAGAGTAAGCTGGCCACGAAGGGCAGCCACCTGTTGGGGCGCCCAAGGAGCTGGGGGTTAAGGACCTTGCTCAAGGACCCACAGACGTGCCGAAGCTGGGTTCGAACTGGCGACCTTCTGATCACAGGCACACAGGCTCAGCCCACTGTATGCACATGCACTAAGAAAAATTAAACACTATACAGTAAATTGTTCTTCATCTAGCTTTGTTTTGGCCATGTTTTTAGTGGAACCTTGAGCCTCTGCAAGGGGGGGGGGGGGGGTCACCCTTGATGGGATGCTGGTTTATCACAGGGCACAAATGCGCGAGCACACACACATGTACACAGACACACACACACCTTCCTCAACTCATTCACTTTTCAGTGCAGGTTGTAAAGTAGATTCAGGTATATTACTAGGAGTTTCAACCCTAATCATCCATCCCTAACGAACGGTGTGGAAAGCAAGGGGGAAAAAAAGCATCTGACAGTCTTAGGAAGCTTCATCATAGAAATGACCTTTTTGCAGTCCTTAGTAGGACTTACTTTTGGAGTCAGTATGAGGGATTGCACATCAGCAGTCATTATTTCTTTGCCATTTCCTAAATTCCAAAGAGTGAACAAATATGATAAATGAGAGGAGTCATATTTTTCATTCATATATAACCTTTATTATATAAATATGTGATCAAAACCATTACAAATATTTTAAATTTTGCATATTTAACTATGAGGGACTTGTAGTTAGCAGTCTGGGATAGTACATAAAATAGTTGCTTTAAAAGAAAATGCTAGTGCATAGTAAAGACTTGGAAAAAACCTCATGATAAATCCCATGTTAGTGAAAGAAGACCAACATCAGTGTACAAGACCTCAATCGGAATAGCTGGACTTAAACAGAATTGGACATGATCTCGGAACCGTTTTGACCACCCACTCAGCCAGCTAGGTGGCACTTCTCAGTCACAGAATGACATTAAGTGTGCAGTGACTTACCATCTCTACCAGTAACACAAGGTATTTGGTGCCCAGGACCAGCAGATTGGCTTATCTGCATCCCAAAATCCAGAAGGGATATGGAATGAACCCGGAAATGCAGCACAGCAGGCGGCTCCGGACTGTTTTCAACAAATATCATATTTATTAATTAAATTCTGTATCATGCAACCACAGTGTGTTTGTTACAGCTGCTACATAAAATCCTGAACCAGAGTGCACATCCATGAGAGACCCAAGGCAACACTATTAGGAAAGAGACTACGATTTAATTCAAGGACGACTATCACAATTGGACTTTGCCACCCTGCTGATGACTTCAGAGTTAAACAAGGAGACAAAGTCCTTTTGAAATTTTAGGCCGACAAAAGCCACATATGAAAGACATCAGCACCAGGACTGATTCACAAGCCAACTGAAATATTACACCATTTCGTTTATAGTCACCAAAGCTGAGGCTAATACGTTTACCTTCAGAACTCTGTTCTACAAGCCAACAGGACACTTTCATCTTCTCTCACAAGTACAAATGGCTGTTTACACATTATAAAGTGTCTGCTTAGCAAGTTCAACATTTTAACATTTGAACTTCATAAGGATTCAATGTCATTTCAAAACCTTGAAATACTTAGCAGATGTTTTCTTTGACATTGTAGTTTCTTTTGATTCCCAGCCATCAAAAAACATGAAAATAATACTTTGCTTTGGTGGATCTACTAAAAAGGAATCCATAAAGTTATTAGTCCAAACCACTGATACAATGTAAATAGGACCACTGGTGCAACCTGTCCATGGTGCTAAGGATTTCGGTTGTGTCATGAACTAAGTTCATACTTTGACAAAGATGACGACACAGATTTTGAAGGGCACGGATTTTGCTATTTTGAACACTCCTCCAGATAGCGATTTGAACACACTGTCAACCTGATGCATCTTAAGATGTTTCTAAAGCACAGCATCAAAAAGACCATGCTGTACATCGATTACGAATGCACAAATGTGAAAATCTTCATGCGTCTGGCAAACTGGAAAGGCCTTGATGCTCCAATCACAATAGCTTAATGACAAACAACTTCATAGACTCAGGGTATCTGGGACAAAAAAAAAACAAAAAACAAACTTATTACAAAAGAATGTGTAACTTCTGAAACAGGAGAAAGGTGAACTCTGTGGTTCCAGCAAGCTGGACTAAGAAACTAGGTCGCATCTTGGTGGAAGAGAGCAACACTATGCGAGAAAAATGCAAGTGTTCTCTCAGAAGGAAGAACATAATGTCAAAGAGCAAACTTTCAGTGGAAATACAAACTGCATGGAAAGTAAGCACAGCATTCAAGTGGCAGTGGGTGTGGGTAATAAGCACCTGAGAGTACCCACTGCGTCAAGACAAAGATATGGGCAGGGTGACACCACTTCCTTTTATTTTGGGTTGTTATCCAAATCCTGCACCTTCTCCTCCTCCTTGTGGCCAGGAGAGAGGACCTCCTCTTTTTTCTGCACATGGTCCTTTTTTGAACTAGGGGGCGCAGTTTCCTTCGGCTTCCCACTGTTCGGCTTAGAGGGGACAGACTTGCTCTCCTTGGGGGTCAAGGAGAATAGTGTCTTGAGGAGGCAGATGGTGGCTCCAGCGCTGAAGAGGGACCAAAGCACGAGGGGCCCCGACATAGTGTGGATGTGCTCCCTGACGAGCCTCAGGAGCCAAGGGACTGTTGCATCTGAGTTTCGGCGGGTCAGGCCTTTGTCCTTCGCAGAACGTGCATGTCAGTATCACATTATGTGAAACACAAGACTACTAAAAACAGCCAGTAAAAACAGTCCCTAAATATGCATTTTCACGGACAATTTAAAGCAATAAACAATGCACATCAATGCATGTGACTGATCTAAATCATCGTTTCCCAATCTGGTCTTCAGGGACCTGCAGACATTCCACATTTTTGCTCCTACCAGGAGCTGGGAGGGAGCAAAAATGTGTACTGTCTGGCAGGGAGCAAAAACGTAGACTGTCTGCGAGTCCCTGAGGACCAGGTTGTAAAACCCTGTCCTAAATACCAATGACAACATGACAGGATCTGCAGAAAGTGACTGGAGAAGGCAAAGAAAGGTTTTATTTGAGGACTCCCCTTCCTTCCTTCCCTTGGTTACGTCCATTCTGTCACACAGGTGCATGGGCTCCTACTTATTACACAGACTTTCCAACTAAGGTGCTGAAGAAATTAACCAAGTTGACACATATGGAACTGGCCCCTATATAGAGTAAGATGAGTGCAGCAGTTTGAGGGCTGTTCTCTGGTACCTTCAAGCCGTACTGTGTGAGAAGACCATCCAGGAAAGGGTCTCCCAGGTGCACGGTGGGGAAAAATTCCTCTACATAGCGCCGCCTCCACCACTGCTGGGAGAACCACCTGACGAGAGAGTGTTAAGCTTGTTTATGGCCTGCAGCCCATCAGGACAACTGAGACGTCTAGTCTCAAGTGACCAGGAGTCCACGGAAGTACAGCAGACAGGACTGTGCACCCACCCGTTCTCCTGGGCATCTGTGAACCAGTATTTATAGAGGAGAGCGCGGATGAAAGTGGGGGGCTGCTGCCTGAAGGGGTACTGGGACTCGTCCACCTGGATCAGGTTAATCACTGGACGGGAGGAAGATGGAGAAGTGTTTTAATGACTTGAGGAGTCAGACTGACTCTACTGCAGTACCAGCACCCTTTTCAGCTTCCCTCCTCTATCTCACCATCCTTCTTGCCCTGCAGCAGTCGGTACGCCAGGCTGGGAAACCAGGGGCTCTGGGTGTGGGGGCCAAGTGCTGCGAACCACATCTGCCAGTCCAAGCGAGGCTGGTGGGGCGCCACGATTGGCTGCGGACCACTCACATTCCCAGGTTTGTACATGAACTCGATCTCCTATTAGAGGAGGGGTAAACCGGTTACGGTACACTGCCTACCACAGCCTATCATCCACCAATTCTCTTTGAACATTATCTAGAGCAGTGTTTCCCAACCCAGTCCTCGGGGAACCCCGGACAGTCCATGTTTTTGCTCCCTCCCAGCTCCCAGCCAATCAGGAACACCGAATACCTGGTACAGGTGCGCTAGGAGCTGAAAGAAAGCAAAAAAAGTGGACTGTCCGGGGTTTCCCGAGGACTGGGTTGGGGAAACACTAATCTAGAGCAATGGTTCTCAACCTTTTTTGCACCGCGACCCACTTTTTACCATGCCAGCTCAGTTGCGACGCTATATCATGTATAGCTTTGCGCTAGTTTTGCGCTAAGCATTTGCAAATCCAAGACCGGTTTATATAGGTTAATTCTAGGAGTGGGGCTGGGAAATCTGATTGTGGAACAGCATAGGAGCTTGCTGATTTAAAAATTTCCAACTCTGCCTCACGACCCTTTCAGAACTTGGGTCACAACCCACGGGTTGAGAATTGCTGATCTAGAAAGATGGATGAAGGACACATTGGGCAGAGAACATCAGTTCAAAGTTCTGCAAAATAGACCTCTTACCGTCCAGGTGTTCTTGTCTATGCTGCCCTCAATCACCACCTCAGGCCGGCCTCCCACCCCCGTCATCCTCCTGAACAGGCCGTAGGAGCCGACCAGGTGATAGCGGTCCACCGCACTGTATGCCTTATGCAATTCTGGCCAGAGGTTTCCATGAGAGTCGTACTCGATGTAAGTGTACGGCACCTAGCAATGAATTGGAACAGTTACTGTGGTGCCCGTTCCAGAAGTTTAATTAGGAACCTTTAAGAACATGAGGTCTATAAATAAAAACCATAAAGAGACGAGACAAAGTACTATTGTGATGAATGAGATCCTGTCCAAGTCTGTACATAAAAAAGAAATAACGGACATATTTGCACTCAACTCTTTGAAGACTACAAAAGGCACGATAAAGAAACTTTCAGCTGATCACTACATCTCCCATAATGCTAAAATCAATGACAAGTTATCCTGCGTTCAATTCTCTTGCAGAGTTGGAAGTCAGATAAAAACCATCAGGAAAAACCCCATGAAAAAATGTCATGAAAAACGTCGAAAACACACCTTTCCAAAGTTGATGTCGGACAGAATTTGTTGTACGAGATTCACTTGTGTCGTCATTTCAACATGGCGGCTTACATAGTAATACTAATTTTATAAATATTACAAAATGTTTATTTTGTTAAACGTATTAATAGTTCTAAATATAATTGCACGTGGTTGATTTAGAGAATACTATATCATGACCGTAAGCAGTATCCTAGCCTGCAATATCAGATTTTTACCAGACTTGTTAGTGTCTTTTGATTGTTTGTAATGTTTACCTCTCGAAAAAAGAATATCGCTATGGATCTACCAAAATATTATAAAGTTTGTGGTTTGACTAGTTCGTGTCTTGTTTGTTTGTCTCTTGGAAAAAAAGAAACTCTCTCCAAATCTGCTAAAATATAAAGTAACACACAACAACAGCGTGTTCGTGGAGGCAGCCATGTTTGTTCCGAGATGTGTAGCTCAAATGAGGGGTTGGACGGATATGACGCACCTCGAAATTTACGAATTCGGAGAGATAATTAAACGCACCATAAGTGAAGCATCCCAGCAGCCCCCGGATCAGAGCAAGAGGTGGCTGTGAAAATGCAGACGACAAACAAACAAACAAACCTCACCAAACTGATGGCAAACATGCCAGCAGCAGCTGTGGCAAAGATGGCCCACTGGACAGTAGCCCAAAGCTTCCAGAAGAATCCTTGAATACAGGCACATCTAAGATAAAATGGAAAGGTGGGAGTATTACAGTTGTAGCAGCAAAAAGATACTAAAAAAGCAACATAATCCCCAGCAGTCAAAACGCCCCTATGACGCATATGATGAAAAAGAACTTGTACAAATAAGTAGACTTACTTATACATGGCGGTGACCACCTCCCAGGCAAGTGACAGCATGCCAAGCCAAATACTGGGAAAGGTGACCATCTTCAAAAAGCTGTTGAACTGGTGGTAGGTGAATTCTGAGAAGCAAAAAGACACGTCCTTCTTGAGTGTGATGGAACCTCACGGGGACTTAAGTCAACAAAGAACTCAACGGATGCGCAGACCTGTTTTCGAAAACACACTCTTCTTCTCCCAGTTGATCTCCATCCCAAAATACAGTGCAGTCCAGTAGAAGAATAGGCCGTAGACACCCAGTTCAATGATGAATGCTGTCCAGGAAATTGCAGCTTGGTACCCGGCTTTGAAAAACAAATCGAGAACAGCAGCATTGTACTATTAAAGTAATTAAATAATACTTTGCAAAACAACGTCATCAAAAGGCCATATATTATGCAAACTGATCGTTTATTGCCAAGCCTCCAGAGTCCTTCAGAGGTCTCTGAGTAGTTGATATGGCTGACTTACAGAGTGGTATTAATGAATGGCAGCCAGAGATCTAAAAACTCATGGTTCAAGAACATCTGTAGGTGGTTAACTTTACTGCATCTTAGACATGTAACAAATAGTTTAAAAGTGAATTACCATTTATGCAAATGATTGACTATAATGCAATGTTGTTGCCTTGTGTACGTAATGCATCTTCCCATAATGGCCATAAAGGCAGGTAAACACGAGAGTGAATCAACATCATGGCCAATCAAAACTTGTCCCTACTGACCAATAGGATGTCTTCTGATTTCATCCAAAAGGTGTGCCCCCCCGGGTGGGCCTATGCTATGCGGCCACATAGCAATGATAAGAGGGCTGCCTATAGCCTCCTGCCGATCAGCTGTGCTAGACAGCAGCGTCGCTGCTGAAAGTCTGGCCAAGTTTTCCAAAAGCTGTCAAATCTATGATGCTTCCCGGTGAATTTAAAAAGCAAAGATCGTTTGTATCCCTTCCAGCAAACATCCCTTAAATAGTAAAACCCTGCTGAGAGAAACATCTGCAGGGAGCTGATAAGCCTGATTAGAAGCCGTTCTACTAGAAAATTAGAATCTGGCTTTCCTGCTCGTACATTTCTCTTTCGTCTTCTTGCCACGTCTCAGCCAGAAGTTGACATGGTCGTCATCCAGCAGCGAGAAGCACAGAATGATGGTGAGCAGATTGAAGAAGTTGTAGTTTCCTGTTAGGATAATGAGCACTTGTAGCAAAACCTGGAGTCCGAAACAGTGAAAGCAGTCGTGCATCAGTTTTACCCGCAATACAGAGGCAGGCCACCGCCAAGCAAATAGCAGCTGTATGTCTGAGACTAAGAGGAGCAAAGATCCAACACACCTGCACGTAGAAGGCAAAGATCCTCAATCTCCTAATGGGAGCGAAGAAGAGGAAGGGGACGGGGATCTCGATGATGAAGGTGCCCACAATGCTGAGCTTCTGAAACCACACGGGGAGTTGGTGGGCGTACCAGGCCAGGGGTGAGGGGATGCACTGCGTTTCGTAGTGATATGTCAGGGCTAGCACATAAGGTGAGACGCACGCAACACCAGGATGAGCAAATCCAACTCTCCACAATGACCGAATCAACTATTCAGGAAAACATGCACCTAATAAGTTGAACTACGTGAAAGCCAACCTTGACCATGGCCATTATTGGTGGAGCTCCATCCACCTACCAGTGAGGCCCCACCAAGTTGGGCAGCGGCTGGTGAGCTTGACGACCCCGGAGGCGAACATGAGGCGAAAGAGCAGCCATCGCACCAGCCAGAAGGTGGTGGCGTCATGGTGCTTCGCGGGGGACTGCCACAGCAGGTTCAAGGGGGCCACGAGGATGGCTAGAAATCCCGCCTCCAGCAGGAGACTGTCCCTAGATCCATGGGAGAGGACACCACATAACAACGGGCTGAACCAATGCGAGAAGGGTTGGGGGGGGGCAGGGGTAGTATGTCAACAGAACATTGCATGCTCCACTTCCCAGCTTCTTAGCCGACAAGCAGTTCACCACAGGCTTGCAGTGAGTGGAGGTAAGAACAGCAGAACTGCTTTGCAAGCATGAATCAGATTCCTCGTTCAGAAGGACACGTGACGAGTTGGTGGGTGGAGTGATAAGCCAGTGTGTCCTACAAAAGAGTCTTCAGGGATTTTTCACACATGAACTAAAGCAAAGTGGTATGAGGTATCCTGCTATCAAACATGTTAGTTAGCATGCGAGTGCCTTGTGTAAAAATAAAAAAAAAAGACTTACCACTGGAAGTACAGAAAGACCTGACCAACCTGAAAAAGAAACTTATTAATAAAAAATAACTGCACAAAAAAACATCTAAGAAAATCCTATGTCGCTGGCATGCAAGAGAAACCAGTATAAATGTAAAAAGGATTCAGACTGCTAGCTGGTTACTCTGATAAAGAAATGCGGGATATTGAATTTAATTTTCAGTTATTAAATATAATAGAAATGCAGTGTATGAAATCACACATTTTGTGAATCTCTGCTGTGAAACAAACATGGTTAAACCATGATCTGACTAAAAGTGGACACTGCACACCTGGCCGGGAGGCCGCACACCTGGTACACGGAGCGGTAGAGGACCCAAAGGCTGAAGAACACCAGGCTACTCCTCAGCGGCTCCAGCACCACGGCCCCGAAGGCCAGCGTGGCCCCTAGTAAGCAGATGAGCTCCATGCCCTGCTGGGTGTCCAGGGCCAGTTGGGGCCCCAGCCACAGCAGGGTGGGAGAATCTTTCAGCTGCTCCAGCAGCGACTTGCCCAAATAGCGCATCTGCCAGCGTGCCGGCAGGATTCCCTCATTCCCATAAAGACCTGAGTCAGGGGAGAGAGGGGCGAAATAAGATCAGTTTATAATTAAAAAAACTGCACTTTTAGGGTTGTGCAGTTCAAAATAAACCAATTTTCCAGAAACATGTCTATTCATGAGTGATTTAAACAGCAAGGATGAAAATGATTAGGAATGGCTTGAAGAGCGCATGCAGAGCTCATGCAAAAGTAGCGGCAGTGAACTTTAAACTAATGTTAAACATACCAGATTATCCTGAAAAGGAGTAGTCATTAAAGTTGCACAGCTTACTAAGTTTTGTTTCCTATAAACGTACTAGCGAAACATAAACCCCACGGCCTCTGTGAATTTTATAACCAAGATTTATAAACACAGGAACTGTATTGAAAAATAACGTTGCTTATGAAAGTACGCAAGTCAGAATTTCAAGTTACAGTCAAACCTCGGATTGTGAGTAATTCGGTTTGCGAGTGTTTTGCAAGACGAGCAAAAATTAATAAATTTTAACTTGATAAACGAGCGAGGTCTTGCAATATGAGTATTATGTATACGCTTTGTCTGCCCAGCGTCACGTAATCACAACCGAGCCGATGGTTCTTCTCTCTCGCTGTGGGATTGTGGGTAATCGTCTCCCATGCTCGGTCTCAGTCGACGTGCCTCACTCGTATAGTCAAAATTTTGTAGAAAAGCACCACTCAAATAAGGGTGTAGCAGTGCAAGCGATGAATCTGTTTAACGACAATGCAATGTCCACATTTCCGCAAAATCGAAAAGCAGCTGTCATTGGATATGATCCTTGTTAAAGTTGCACAAAAAGAAAAAGATTCCAGTGAGCCAACAAATAGCAGTGATTCCGTTAGTTATAGTGCAAGTCGTCCTACAAAATAACCCTCCACTTCTCCTCTCTCTCTTCTCCGTCACACCATCCACAATTTTTTCAAAGGTAAAGTTCAGGTTAATTTGTTTTATGTATTTTTACTTTATATTTCGTATCAATCATTTTTATATGAATATTTTTGGGTTGTGGAACGAATCATCCGAGTTTCCATTATTTACAATATGGAAAATTCCCTTTGATATACGAGTGCTTTGGACGAGCATGTTTCCGGAATGAATTATGCTCACAATCCGAGGTTTTACTATAGTCTCATTGTCCTTCATACACTATACTGCTTTCTTTAGAAACTTAAACTGCCATTACGCTGTACACAGAGGTACACAATACTGCTCACAATATTTGCTCTCTTGCCTCTGAAAATATACAGTTCTTCCGGCCTTTCATTCTTAAAAATCAGATATTACTTTAATACTAAATACAGTAAAAAAAACACATAGTACTGTGACAAAGGCGAACATACTGCCCCCGCCAATTGTTGATGATACTGCATCTCACGTATACGTTGCATTAACTCCTCTGGTATGGGCACCTACGATGCGTGGAATGAACGCAGAAAACACGTGGCAGCCATGATGCGTACACGTATGCGTTGTGAGCGTCAAGTATAGATCAGCCCTAAGGGGTCGCAAAATGCAATAACGAGGTTCTAACTAAAAGAAACAGTGCTGTCACACGACTTACAAAATCATTATTCATCATCGTTTTATCACAGTGATGCACATCAATTAGGTAAATGCAATTCAATTAACAGAATTTTGGGATTCCCGATATACATGAAAGCTGCTTTGACACTGCAATAATGACACTGATTCAGAACACAGGCTAGTTCTTTAGCTAGCAGAAACCTCCAGTCAATTACAGCCAATATCTGCCCAATGAGCAGTTCATTCGTGACTGCAAAGCCAACAATCAGATTCCCACAATCACATGTTTGCGGCAGGTTTGTGCTACAATCCAACAGCCATTTTTCACTTAAGCACATGCAAAGATTTCACAGCTAACCGCTTACAGAAAAAAAAAATAGGCAAAATGAATAAGTAATCACTGTACTGCTGAATTAAACAAGTGCATGTGTGAGTTCAATTACCGGACATATACACTTGCTTAATTCAGCGGAGGAAGCATTCTGAAACAGCAAACACCAGAGGACAAGATGTGGAATATGATTGGGGATGTTTGTCTAAAGAAAACCAAGATTTCTCAAGCATTTTGGTGAAGGCACCAGATGTGGACAGAATTATACATTAACTAAATGTTAAGTAAATTAACAGGAATAAATGTACAATGGAGACACTGCACAGTAATTCATTTATTTCTTATTGCCAATTCATCTCAAGTTACAATACAAGTCATGAGTGGTGCTCAGGTACTACAGACTAATATTATGGTACCTTAAATTTTAGTGAAATTTGGGACAATATGGTTTCATTATATTCAGAATTGGAAAATGGATCAAAGCAACACTAAAGTCCTGCCAAAAGATGGATGGAAAGATTATCTATATCAGGGCTCTTCAAATCTGGACCTTGATTCCAAATCCAGGCCTTGTTTTCAGTTCTCCCAGGTAGTTAGTTTAATAATTACTGATTCTGATTGGTCAGAGGCTTCACACCTGACTGACAGGTAAAGGAAGGCTGGAAAACCAGCAGTGCTTGGACCTCGAGGACCGTGATTTGAATATTAGGGACCTATATCTTCATTCAACACACGTTTTATATTAATATTTTCTTTCTTCATATTAGGCACCGTCCAAGGAGCATTTAACTACACACCTGTACAGTGTATTTGACAAAATTTCAAACTATTAATTATAAACAGGAATTTTATTCACATAAAAACACACTTTAAATTATTTCATTAATGAAATAAATGTAAATGAAGGACCAAAAGAATGATTATCTTTTCACGGCAGTCCAAATTCTTGAAACCCACATGCGCATAAATGACTCCGTAAAGGTCAAAGCCTGCCACGCCGCACCAGTCCACAGCATGGCGCTGACATTTGCCGTATTTTATTTCACACTTCGCATAGCAAAAATAATGGTTTCCAGCATAAACGGTGCTAAAAACACACACACACACACACACACACACAAACAATGATAGTCGCCCAATTTCTTTTTTAACCCAAATGTAAGGTACTCATCCCCAGATACGCTCCAAAAAGAAAAAAGAATTAAACAGGAAATGGGAACGGGGGTTACCCTCATGTCCCAAAGGCAGGGATATTTTCGCACACTGGGAAAAAAAAAATCAAAAATGACCACGTCGTACGTCGACAGAACGCAGGATTTAAAGACCGGTTATATAGTGTTAATGTTATGTTATTTACAGAAGCCACAGTTACCTTTACGGCCACAGCGCCCGTAAACATGCGCCCGCTAACTTTCCTTATTTGACCAACGGCTGGAAAGTTTAGGACAATTTGACGTATTCTGGGTTTCTACATCGGCGCCAAATACTTGAAATCGCGATGACGATGATTTATTTAGTCCGCTCCAGAGTTTATAAAATAACACCTGAAACGGAAATGCAGCACGAAGTTTACATCGCTGTGAAAAATTAGGCTGTGGGCAAAGAATGATTATAAAAAGCCCGTGAAAGCAACGCTTGCGCATGCATGCGTGAATCAGTGGGTTCATGCTAATAGGGAATGCTAACTGGAGCTGCACGTACCTGGGATTTGCACGTAAAGGGAAGCGAAAGCAAACATGTAGATGACGGACATGCTCCACAGAAACATGTGTCTGGGCAGTTTTATTTCCCCCATGATTGCTTCCCTGCTGCTTAGCTGTCTTCAGGTGGACAGGAGACACTCTAGACGCGCGCGATGCTCTCCGGCCCCAGCAACGCCGCTCTGCGTGTGCGCATGCGCAGAGCCGGTGGAACCCAGGCCCGATTCGGCAGACCGCAGCAGCCGGGGTGACTGGGCAGCGCGGACGGAGCTTCAAGGGTATGTCTGCGATTCCATCTTTTAAATTAAAGCTGCAGTTGATTAAATGGGATTGTGCGTGGACTCTATCTGTCCACTCTTGCGCAGAAAGCATATCATTAGATTTTCTATTTAGTTATTTAAGTGTAAAAATTCAAAAATAAATTGACAAAGAACCGCAGCGTGGGATTTGAAAATTAAATTACACCCTCTTGTAGTAACACGTGGTTAGCAGGTAACTCAAGTGCATAAATTAATGGCATACATCATAAACTTTTTTTAATTTTATAATTTGTTGTATACTTCGACATTTTCAAGATCTATGTCCATTGCTGAAAGGGGAACCAAATAAAGGTCTAGCTCTGGTTAACTAAGAAGTAATCATTTTATTGCAAGAAAGTGTAGTTCTTTTATTGAACACTGAGTGGCGCAAGGTACTTTAAAATTGTGAGGGTGAGTCTTTAATGCCAATGGATAGTACGTCATACGCAGGTCAAGTTTAGCTGCAAGAGTACAAGTCATATTACACCGAATATATTGGCCTGAAATAGGCATGACCAGAATATCAGATTCAGAGGACAAGATCCATTATTATTTTAATATATAATCTAACAGTCAATTTAGCTCTTTTTGCAAAAGTCATATCTAATCAATGCAATCACTCATTAAGATATTATAGTTTGTTTTAACAGTACTCTGTCTTTAAATTGTTGAGATATAGGAAAATGTTAAAACATGGCTTTCCTTAATGGAAGGCAAATACAAACAGTGTAGTATAAATATAAATCCACCAGATAAATTTAGAATAACATTCAGCGTGTTTTCGTCGGTACTGCATCTGCGTATCGGCAGACTAATCTTGGTTCCAGTTGCTCTTTGGCAAGTATCTGCTCTCTTGCTGCTACACACACATTTTACTGTCACTGTCCACTGGACCCCCCAGGAGACGTCACCCACAACACTTACTCATGCTACTTGCAGAGCTTCCCTGATGACTGGCTGCCTTGGTACTAGAGGCGAGATTAGAGTGCAAGGCGCTGGTGTGGGACTTCATCTTGTAGGGCGAGGAGAACCACCTGAATCTGAACGTGATCAAGATGCTGCTGTTTTTCCCCTGAGACCAGCCACCATCTACAGCGAGAACGTGGAAGTGGTGAAGTCACAGGAGGAGCGAGTAGCAAATTAGATGGGGTGGACAATAGGGCTGTGCTGTACCAGAAAAGCCAGAGCAAACTTTACTTTCTGAGGAGCCTCAAGTCTCAAGTGAGCAGTAGACTGCTAGGGATGTTCTACCAGTCTCTTCTGGCCAGCATGCACTTCTATTCTGTGATCTGCAGGGGGAGCAACTAGGCTTGGGCAGTATGTAATCTTCCCTACCATCATACCATACATACATTGATCCACTGTATCGAGTACTTATAAAAGCAACACTATTCCGGAATCTTGAGGTAATATTTACTGAAAAGGGTTAGAGGGGCCCATACAATGGGGGGAGTCTCGTACAGTAAATGCCACAATTCAGTTGACTAAGTGGGCGGTGGGTCCTCCACAATAAAATTTGTTGAGCAGGGGGCATTAACGTAACACTACCAAACCCTAGGGGCAACATCAAGTCAGGAGATTACAAATCCGTCCACATGTTAATTCAAACAGGACCCCAGTATAAGAGAAGAGATTGTTAGCAAAATTGTCCATTAACAAACCTGGACACCCCCCCAGCAACTGGCCCATTTCACCATGGCTTGCTAGGAAACACTGTTTGAGATCTTTTCTCTCTGCCACCAAGCTTACTGATCACTAGAGCAATTTCAGTGAAATATCACTTTAAATGGCACATCAGCTGAGCCCCCCTTCCTTACCCATAACCACCTGTTTCCACACCTCACCTACTGCCTGAAAACGATGGCTGAAAGCCAGCAACATCTGCATTCTTATCAGGTCTCCACCTGTTTAGCTTTCCTATACGAGCTGTAACCCACCGATGCATCTGCTTTTATCAGAGTCTCTCAGATTTAAACAGACTCGAGTGCATAACAGCAGTGGCTGAACCGATCAACTTGGTGCAATTTATTTTCATTCATTCTAATCAAAAGCATGTTCGTTTTGAGTTTTACTATCACTGTTTCTGGTTACATGGTCTAGTGAGAACACAATGGTCTGTTTTCAATAAATGTAGCTAGCTTTTTTTTTTGTAAGTAGTCCAGGGTTTCTACAAAGTATGAGATTTTCTTTGCATACTAATCATATTGTCATACTCACTGTCCATCAGAGTAACCCAGGAAGAATTAGGTGAACCACAACACATTCCAGACAGCTTATGTGAAGGAAGTCACTGATAAAGGAAGTCATTTTCAGTACGAAACCCAGCAATGTGGCAGGATGCAGGACTGGAATGAGGTGGGAGGGGGTTGGGGTTAGGGTTAGGGTTAGGTTAGGACACTTTCTTAACCACAAAACAAATGCTGAAAATAAAGCAGGATGCTTGTTGCTTGAGCCAACATTTCGTTTCCCCTTTTTCGTCCGTCCATCTCAGCCCTTCTTTTGAGGTCAGGCTAGGGCCTTGAAAACGGCCCCAGCTGGGTGGCTTGATCACTTGCCAGCCATGGGCATTCGTGGTTGCCATGCATTGGCGCCCAGCATTGCCATTCGTAGCTGGCATGGCACTGATGCTTAGCTACCATGCCGTTATAGTGTGATTTCAAATTAACATTTCTAATACTACTAAAGTCATTATTCTGTCAGATGCATCTGCCCCTTTTCCATGCCACTTACCAAGTACAGGGTTCAGGTGAATCCAGATTCTCTTCCATGGACCATATGCTGGTCCATTGGAAGCCATACACTCACAATCACACACCAAGGGACTTTGATTCCACTTGGATTTTGGCAGGAACCCTGAATACCCAGAGGAGACATGCACAAAACAAAATGCCTTCCTATATCCAGTGTGTTAAAGTTTGGACAGTGTAAATGAGGACTTTGCCATCTTGTTCATTTAACTTCCTCTGTCGGCCCCTGGAAGATGGGCTCCCCCTTTGTGTCTGGTTCCTCCCAAGGTTTCTTCCTACGAGGGAGTTTTTCCTTTCCACTGTCACTTCTGGCTTGCCCACATGGGGGCTTTCAGCAGGCACAATGTAAAGCACTTTGAGACAATGAAATGTTGTCAAAATGCATTGAATTAAAGCTGAAATAAAACTGAATTGAAATTAACTGAATTGAATACGTTACCATAAATAGTTTGGTAAATGCAACCTCCTTTTGGCACCCAAAGGAGTCATTTCTACGTAACTCTGTTCATCAAAACATGAGCAAAGAAAGTAAGATCTAATTAATTTCATTTGGCTCGATGAATGTATGTTAACTGGCACTTTTCATATTATAATGACAATGAAACAATTCACTATTATTATGCTTTAAGCAGAAGCTCAGGCTCCACTGAGATGAATTGACAAAGGCCATACCTTCTTTGTTTTCAAAGAGGGGGACAGACTGTGTGAAGAGACATGCGATGAGGGCATTTGGGCAGGGCGGGGACAGGGATGCTGAAGGAGAAGATCATCTCAGGCTGGATGGATAATTGCAGCATCATATAAAACCCCAGCAAGACAAACAGATTTATGCAGATTATTTAACTAGATATATCAATCAAAGTTTTATTTGCCCCATAAATAGTTATACTCACTATAATGTGTAATGAAATGCTTGGTGTAGTTGTCATATTTCATCGCATCAGCCATATTTTCATGAAGGAGGTTACCTCTCCTGTGTATCCAGTGCTAGATCACAATGTGAAACTGAGGAATAGACAAGAAGTGGCAAGTTCCACATCAAAGTCACTGCAACTATACTGTAGGCCTTTCTGTGAACTTATGAAGAGTGATAGGTAATGGGGGTATAAATAAAATCTTGCTTATGGGTACAGATTCAAGGGACTCAAGAGTTCTCACATGCACAGTTACACTGGTGTAACTGTGAAATGAAAGTGAAATGAAAATCTGGCTTGCGCCTGCAACAGTGCAGAAAACATATAGGTAAATTAATGTAATTAAAGGGGGGGGGGGGTACAATGACAAATACCAAGGATAAATAGAAGATAAAAGGCTGTGTATAAAAATATGATTCAAAGACAATGTGCAAAATAACATTAATACAGCATTATATGTAGCATACATCATGGGCTGGCAAATATGGTAGGCAGATGTATATCTCCTGAACCAACAGCTTTCAGGTTATCAGTTTATTGTCAGGATCAGTCCCTGTCCTGCCCCTTCCGTATGTCAGGTCCCGGTTTGACTATCCCATTCTTAGTTCGTTGTGTGTTCTCTTGGTTCTCAGGCTGCCGTGTGACTTACTGGGCTAAGCGGGCGGCTAGATATCTAGGCTCCTCTTTTTGTTGAGGGTTCAAGGCTGGTTTCTGGCCAGCCTCAACAATGATTAATAGTTTTATGGTTTTTAGGTTCTTGGGTCAATCCCGAGGTGATGTTTTTCTATACTTCACTGTCTATAGTACTGTTTTGTTACCCTTGTTGTTCTAGTCTCCCTTTGGTTCCTGATTGCTCATACCTGTTCCTCAGTGTTCTTGTTCTCTAGTGATTGTTAACTGTTCCCACCTGTTTCTCATTGAACTTGATTACCGGTCTATTTAAGTGCCTGACCATGCTTTACTCTTGAGTCGGTTATTGGAGTTGTTACTGTGTTTTGTTCCTTGCTTGCTTGTCTTAATTACCTTTGTATTTTTGGTGTTAGTTTACTTTGTGGTAGTTATAGTTTTGTTCTTCTTATCTGCTTTGTTTTTCACCCCTTGTGGTCTTTTTAAGCTTTATCGTGTTCTGTTTGGGTTTAATAAAGTTCTGGTTTGGGGAGCCACATTGTGTATTGTCCTTCCCTGCATCATGCCCCACCGTAACATCTATAATCATAACGATACCTGTGACATGAGATTCTGCTCTTTGTAATCAGATATCCCCTGGCCCTGGATACACAGGAAATATAACTTCACAAAAATATGGCTAATGTGATGAAATATGGCGATTCTCCAGAATGAAATATGACGACTACACCAAGCATTTAATTACACATCATGCTGAGTATAACTTCCTGGTAATCAATTACCAACCATACTGAAGTCTTGTCAAAGCCAGCCATCTCTCAAACTATGACCGTATTCTTTGAAAAGAAGCCACCCGAGAGTTCAGGGCATAAAAGGGAGGGTGATGTCATTAGCCCTCCACTTTAATCATAGTGTCTCAATGCTGCCAAATAATGCAGAACCTTTGTTGAATTAGATCATAGGGAGCCTGACTGAGGGTGAATCACCCCAATAGCCTATTTGTTCCAGTGCTCACAGCACATGAAATAGAGTGACCACAGCAAAACAAATCTCGATCTTAGGGCTAAACGGAACACTGGCTGTAAATCAGCTTGTAACATGGCTCCTGGCCAGATGAATTCTCATAAGAGAAGCCATTTAAATACAGACTGCTTAAACATATCAGTTGTCATCAAAGGCAGCACCCAGTTTGGTAAATGGCAGTCAGGATTCTATGCTCCGGACGAAATTGAACAATTCCATTTATCAAAGCTTCTACACTGCTCTAGAACGCACATAAAAATAAGGGCACAAGTGCAATTGACCTTGTCTTACCTATAACGTAATTACACAGAGCAGGAAGCCTTTCACAAGTGTTTCTTTTCCACGATCAGCATCAGTGTCTGTATCCTCTCAAACGCGGCTCTAACTGTGGTACCCGATAATATAAAAATGTCAGACCAAGGATACAGGCGGTTTAAAGAGCACTTGTAAGACTCCTGTCTGGCACCCATGCTGGAAATCTTCACGGACAAAAACCCAGAGTAGGGCAGGGATGAATGAGTGCTCACCCCATTGGAATTTAAGACAAAAGTAAGGGTAGGGTGATTGATCTACAAAATAAATCCACTGGCATGTGATAAATGATTGCAGTTGTCCTCTGAGAACTTCTATCCATAATACATGCATGCATCAGAAAGTTAAGTGTAGCTATGACCTTAATTCTAAAAGCATGGTGTACATGTGAGAGATTTGTCAACCATTGGAGTACCGTCTGGGTTGTGCAAGTGAAATGGATTGAAGATCAGGGGACACTACTGGGAGGGATGGACATGGAATTAATGAAGAGGGGGGAGAAAGGAAGCTTAGAGCAAGATGAATCAGGAAGGAAACAGTTCGATACAACCATGTCTGATTGAACATGTTTGTGTGTGACTGTGTGTGTTGGTGCTTTTGCTGCATGAGGTCTTAGCAGTCTGTGTTGTATTGAGGCATGATGGATGATGAACCCAGTGCGACACACAAAGGGAGCTATATTTTACACTGAAGACAAGAAACTAAAGGGACCATAAGGGGTCAAAGCAAAGGCAGTAGGGTAAAACAAGAACTAACAAGGGCTAAACTAAACACGAGGAAACCAGACATCAAACAAGTTCGGGAACCACAGGTGCAGGCAATAAACACAGAAACAGACCCAATGACTTACCAAAGAACAAGGGCAAAGACAGGCACTAATATACACGGATAACAAGAGCATAGTGAGGGACAGGTGTGGGCTATTATAAAATACATACAAGGCAAAGATACAAAAAAGAAAGGACCACTATAATAACATAATTAACATGGAGAAAACAACTAATCACTAAAATGTCCAACAGAGTTAAAAGCTGGCCTTTGGCCAGCCTCAAACCTATAACACTAGGAATGCAAAGTTCTTAGTCATACACTCAGCCCATTCAGCTATGCAGTGGACCGGGGAGCAGGGGAACACACTAGGCACTGTGAAACATACCAAACAGAGAAAAGAACGAGATGGCCAGCGACACCTGCTGGCCAAATGGAGAAATGACAGATATAAGAACGAGATGGCCAGCGACACCTGCTGGCCAAATGGAGAAATGACAGATATTGCAGAGATAGATCCTGACAGTAAGGTAGTTCCCAGACCAACAGGGACAACCAGCACTGTTACTGACTAACCCCTAAGACAGGGTTCATGTCAGCAAATTCCTGACAAGATTAGCAAATTGTTGGTGCTGCAGTCTGGGATTTTCCCATCTCTGCCTTAAGACAGATGAGTGGTCTCTCCTGCAGGCAAGACACGGGTTTTGTCATGTGGTTCGCTGATGCAACACTCCTAACATAGTGAACAAAGGCTGACCCAGTCTGACCTGTGTGAGGGGGGCTGTGCTTCAGGGCATCATAAACTGAGCAGTCTGAGCCTTTTGATGGGGACCCGTGATCACAGCCACTTCAGGGAGGATGGATGGGGTTCAAAGGTGATGTGTGGCGGTAGCTGAATTTAATTTTAAAAGGCCATTATTTTCTCATCTGTAAGACTCACTTCAGGCAGGCGTCATGTGAAGGGGATGGAGGAAGGGACAGAGATCTAATTTGGGTATGGGGTTGGAGATAGAAGAACAAAAGAACCAAAGAGAATGACAGCTATTTTTGTTGTCGGGTGGAGGAAACGGCCCCAGCCAGAGTGGAGACTTAGGGGTCGGGGTCTGGGAACATGTCTTGGGGATGTAGAAAGAAAAACCAGCAGCCAGTCTCATGTAATCAGCTATAAGGGGCAGATGAACTGGACGAATGTTCTTGCAACCATCACATGCTCTAAAAAAATCTCTAAACAGAGAGCCCCTGTTCCATAGGAAATAAACACCAATCACATTCGCAGAGGATCATACTGTAGAATCCCACGGAGAGCTGATGAATATAAATGCCAAATCCATGAGGGTCTGTGGCTAATTAAAGACCAATTTTCCAGCTTCCGACCTTTAATCAGATTAGGCTTTGTCCCCTTGCTATTTGATTTCAAGGCATAAGCACCCAACCATTTTCACTGTAGTTTACCCCCATGTGCTTTGATACAGTTCCATTGACTTCCTGTCTCTGGCTACTATGAGTAGACATTAACAGATAAAATTTCAAATTTTATAGCCGACATTCCCTGTGTAGAGGGTCAATTTAGTCAATTTCTGACCAAATAATGTGCATGTAAACCTCTTCATATTGTGACTCTTAAGCAGGCGTGGATCTATTAATGGGCCCAGCTCTCAATCTAGGGGGACCGGGACCCACCCAAGAATCTGGCAATGCTTTCCAGTCACAATTTTTAAAAATTAAAATAAAAAAAAATAAAATTATTAAAATTATTTTTTTTACTAATTACATTGAATTGTTTTGTTTTGGGAATTATTAGAAATATATATTAATAATCATAAATAATAATAAAAAAATAATAATATTCAGATTCCTCTCTTACGTTTGTTGACTAACGTTACATTAACTGGCGCCTATAATCCCTGTGAGTTTTGCGCTGCTCGTCACCATACTGTAAATATCTATGCCTGTTTAAGAAAACGTGCGGTAATAAGCATCACTCAGGCCTACCCAGATTTCATCCAAGGCCATCCATTAACCACTTTCCATATCCACATTGCTCGAAAATAATAGTCATGTCCACAGTTGAGGTGGATAGTTCAGGGTCAAAGGTAAAAGTCCAGACCAAGATTTTATTTCAACCAACCAGTTGAGTACTCTGTGACTGTGACTCTTTATACTAGACAGAACCGGAAAGTCAAGTGCTCCTTTTACATTTTAGAGTCAGAGGAATAGCTTGGTTTAACAGCATTGTTGCTGCTTGGACCTTATTGTCCTTCCTTATAAAGCCTTCTTCAATCCAGCAGAATCCTGTGACATCCCCATGACTTCTCCATTTAGCTTGTAACTGCGACAACAAAATAGCTGCCAAATAATGTCTCAGTAAGTGTTTTATCTCCAGGACAGCCCATTACAGATATTAAAAGATGTGATTTACTAGTGACTGCATCTGCTTTTCCCCAAGCCTCTCATTTATGGGCTGCTAGTATTCATGATCTGAATACTGATAGAAATTAATGCAGATTTAACAGTATCAGTATAAGGAAAATTCACAGGACACTTAATTACTAAGTAACTTGGACAACATTATAAACAATTCTGCCCAGTAGCTTTGGGGGGCGCTATTCTGCAGCACATTTAGCCAACAGCTCATTCCACCACAGTATGCTAAGAAGTGCATGTGAATCCTTCCTATCTGCAGGCTCGGCCACACCTCCTGCCTACATGCTACACCCCACCCCCAGCCACAACACTTAGGGAAGCATCCCATCTTTGTTGCAGGGAAAGTCTGGCGTTATCTGTATATTTGATGTCATTGGTTATCTGTTTGTTTGTTTATTTCCTTAATTTAAATCCTGTTTTCAGTATATTTTACTATGTACCGTGTATGTCTTAATTTGTCTGCACCTCAGTTACTTATCCGTACTGTGTACTCTCTTTGCAATTTCCATCCATCCATCCATCCATCCATTTTCTGTACCCGCTTGTCCCATGCAGGGTCACAGAGGTCTGGAGCATGTGGGGACTAACCCAGGATGGGGTGCCAACCCATTGCAAAGCACAAGACACACACACACACACACACAAAAGTTGGTCTTCCTATCTTTATGGGGACCATCAATTCATTTCTATGGGAAAAACCCTAATCCCGGTCACGACACCCTTAACCTCTACCCATACCTAACCTTAACCATAAGTAACCAACCCAAATACAAGACTTTTGTTATTTTTACTTTTTTGATTGCATTCACAGATTTTTATAAAACTGAGGTTATCCAAATGGGGACCTCAAAAGATGTCCCCAAAAGCAGGGAAATTTTAGATTTTACTACATTTTGGGAACAATTTAGTCCTCAAATGTGATCTATGCAAACCCACACACACACACACACACCATTCATACCTACGGACAATTTGATAACTCCAGCTCACCTTAACATGCAAACACACTGTGCAGGGAGGCTGGAGAACCCAGAGGAAACCTCACAATGACATGGGGAACATGCAAACTCCACACACATGGAGCCATATCTGAGACCTGAACCCTGATCCCAGGGGTGTGAGACAGTGCTAACCACTTTGCCGCCTTGTACCTTGTACTGCGAAGGGTTGAACTTTGTTTTTTACTATATGTATGTTTTGAACTATATGCACTATAAAAATTTTCCTCTGGGATCAGTAAAATTTATCTTAATTAAGATGAGTGCTGGGTAATTATGTCACTCGTGAACTGAACCAATAAGTGTCTATGATGAGGATGTGTTTATCTCAGAGGTTTATAGGATTTCCAGGTCAGGGAAGTCGGCATGGCTGACGTGATTCTCTAACTCACAGGCAGGCTGCACGTGCGGGTGCCACAGCCTCACACCATTAGGAGGACCACCTTCATCTCCGCAGGGAGGCTTTGGCTCAGCCAGCTTCGCTCCTTCACCGAGCAGGACTGCGTTTGTCAGGGCTCGGCGGTGACACGTCTGAATCTGGATGCGGCGACGACACAGACGTGTGGGGGCAGCGTGTTCTCACGCGGCCCGAGGGGGAGGCCTAAGAAATGCTGACTCCGGGATCTTCAGGAACGCTATGCACTGACCGCTCGCGTGTCGGCGAATGGGACGTGACCACAGCTCAGATCTTGGGTGTTGGTAGCACTTAATTAGCTTTCACTCTCATGTTGCCTCCTTCGGCGTGGAGTGCGTACAACAGGATGCCACATCACGCCTCTTAATATTGTCTTTCCATGGCTTCCCTGCCTCTGTCTCAAGTGGTTTTTTCCCCCCCATAATCTCTCTGCCTTTTTATAGCCTAACGTGGCCTTCAAGGATGGGTTAGAGGGTAAAAGAATAATTTATTTACAGATCATTAATTTGAAGATATTGACATTGTACTTGGTGCCAGCGAGCACCCACAAGACAAGACGTGTCTCACCAAAAAAAAAAAAAGTACCGGCGTTAGACTTTGGCCAACTATCGCGTGACTGCATCAGCGCCGGAACCTCAGCTGACCTGTAACGGGAGACCACATCATCAGCCTCGAAGGGCGTTTTGGCAACAGCGTCCCTCATCAACTCCTACAGAGGCCCAGCAGTGCGGACTCAGCATAAATGCCTTTAACAGACAGTGCACAACCTGTGTGTCATTTTGGCAGAAGAGAAAACTAATTACACCACTAAAACCAGTTGCAGAGGAGGCTGGGGACCCAGAGCAAAATTTGCCACACCCCCCTCCTCTACCCAGCAAATTTTACTGAGCACACCCTTTGATAAGAGAAAATCTCAAGCTCAAGCTTAGCATAATTGCCAGAAATTCTGACTGGATTCCAGCACCTAGGACTATCAAGTTAATGATCCTCCTTTGTAATCGTGGTTTGGGTTGTTTGTGCCTTGCTATGCTTGTTAGGGAGGTGATGACGACGTGAGCATCCGAGAGCCTGTTTTTACCACCGGACTGCATTTCTTAGCACAGAACCCCTTTTGTCCTTCCTCACCGGTTTTCCTATCTGTCATTTCCAGCTCTTTCTTACTCACTTGGTGGTAAGATGATGCCCGACTCCATGTTTACTAAACCTTAATTGCTATCTAGTTCTAACCTTTCATCACACCCAAAATACCACACTGCCTTCCCGTTGAAAGCTCAGCTGCAGTCAGGCTCCTTGTGTAAAAACCAGACAGGCAGGCAGATGTGTTCTCTGGGAGATTGACTTCCTGCCATTTGGACTTCATGCTTTGTCCTTACAAAGCAGAAGACAATTTGTGGTTTTTCACACACACACACACACACACACACACACACACACACATATACACACATATATACACACANACACACACACACATATACACACATATATACACACACACACATATACACACATATATACACACACACACATATACACACATATATACACACACACACATACACACATATATACACACACACATATACACACATATATATATATACACACACACACACACACATTTTATTGGCATTCACCTTCAATTATCCCTTGATAGAAAAGTCTCAGAAAGGCAGCTGGGGGAGGGGCAGCCGTCTACCCTGTCATTTCATCATTTTGGCGGGGCGGAGGAGGGGGCATGAAATGTGCACAAAAGAGCAATTCATCCTCACATGCAGAAAAAGAATGTCATACAAAGGCCTTCACAAACGTAATTATCCATCCATCCAAACAGCTTACTCAACGCTGGGTCATACTGAGTCTGTTCTGTAAAGAACATAACCAGAGGCAGAGGGGCACCCTGAACGGGATGCTAGTAAATAATAATAGTAATAACATTTAATGGAGACAGATGGCATGAGTACACAGAAAGCGCTAAGCAACGATCAGTAATGGGGGCATTGCACAAGGTCTCCCTGAACTCTACACCTAGCAGTTCACAATCCCTCATTAATTCATATGTTCTCTGCTGGGTAAGGTATATTTTAATCATTTTTCAGGAGAGTGAAAACTCACCTTTGTGCAGTGCCAGCTGATGGGGAAAGCAGAGGGCTTTTTGCAGAGAAAAAGCCCAACTGTTCAGAGGCAACCTGCCCACGTGCTTCACTCTGGAGAAACAAGGTAAAAGAAAATAATTAGACATTTAAATACATTATACCAGTAACTCTTATTATGGAAGAATGCTACTGAATGTAGGTACTTAACAGTTATGTCGAAAGTATTCAAGTTGAATGTGTTCTTAGTATCTTATTTTTGTTTAAAATGGAAGGCAGATTCACAAAACTGCTGTTAGTCATATTTTAACCCTTCGCAATTTGTTCAGTGCTTGAAAAATCCACACATTGTAGCCGTCCAGAATCTGCAACAGTGGCCTAAAGAGACGATCAATCACCAAGGCTGATTACTGTCATTTAGTTGGGCCAAAATAGATTCTCTTGTCTGAGTGGCCCTTCCCCCACCTTTGACTTATTACAAAACAGGCCGTCGCTGGAGAGCATCACGGCTACTCTTTTCTTCTTCTGGGTCAGCACCTGTTCTTTTCTGCCCTGGAAGGAGGACTCCAGGTGAGCGGTGGAACAGAGAGTGCGGATCTCAATGAATAATAATCCTGATCCAGCTGGAACAGAATCACGTCTCTACCTGATACAAAAATAGAAATGTAAGTGCCATACAATCAATCAGTCTGTTCTAAAATTACACGCAGATTTAAAATGGGAATGACCTGAGGAAAAAAAAAAAAAAAAAAACGGAGGAGAGAAAATTACCCAAATCCTTGTGAGAAATGAGCTGCGTACCATTTGCGCTCACAACTCGTCCACTTTAATGAGGCATTCAGACTGCAAACGGAATGATAGACGATGAAATGATTGTGTGACCGTGACCTGTGGGATGCTGTTACTTGGGTACTCGGCTTGTCCGCTTGATAACCATCAGACATTAATTTTCTGAGGAGGCCTCCTGACTGATCTCAGCAGCTCACACATACGGGCAAAAGCATAAGCAGAGCTGAACTGCCTGAGGGAATGTTCTGGATTATACTGTTATCAATATTAGGAATGTAAAGTCTTATTTGGGCTTCCACAAGAGTCACAATGTATATAGTACTAGCCAAAAATCTGGACACACTTGTTTTTTAATGCATTTACCTCTTTTATAGCTACAGTATGTAACTCACTTTATAGTGAAAGGCCTCAAGGCAATGAAGTAAAACATATCAAATACTGCAACAATCAAGAGAAATTCAACGTCTCAAAATTCGAAATAGCCCCCTTTTGCTTCGATGACAGCATTGCAGACTATTGGCATTCTTTCAACCAGCTTCCATATGTAGCCCCCTGGAATGCTTCTCCAACAGTCCTGAAGGAGTTTCCACAAGTTCTCAGGACAAGTTGGCTACCTTGCTCTGACTCTTTTATAGGGATGGGCCGATCCACATTTTTTCAGTTCTGATCCGATTCCGATACAAGAGCTCTTTTTACCTTGTTATACTTTATATATTAATTTGTTTAAGCTAGTAAATACAGATGGGAAAATGTATGACAAAAAATGTTTAATTAAGCTACTACAAACATACCTAGCATACTGCTCCACCTCCTTTGTACGTCTTGTTTTAAGCGTTTTTGAGGCATTTGCAGTTCAATGTGAATATCTTCAAAACAAGTATACACAAGTGGCGAATGCTTAAATTTTTAATCCAATTTTTCTCCCATTGGCATCAGCTCAGTTACACTTTGTTGCGATGGCAGCCCCTCTTGTATCACAAGCTGCAGCGAGTTCACAAGAAAGTCCAGGTTAGCGACTCCCATGTCATCCATTGCTTTTTTTGTCTCACAGTTGCGTGCGCTTTGTTAAGTGGGATTGTGCATTAAACGCTATTCCCACCTCTCAAAACTTTATTTTACAAAGATTGCAAATCGCTGTGCTACTGGTTTCTGTTAAAAGCATAAAATACTCCCAGATTGTCACGTCTTATCTTACACTCCTCGTACTGCGAAGGGTATGCGCATGACATCAGAGCAGATGGAAGTCACTGTACTCACACCCACTGAGTAGCAAAAAAGACTGAGGGGCAGCGTTAGCGTTCGATTTGAATGCCGCAAAAGAAAAAAATACACGTAAAATGGTGCCAATGGCACCGATCCGTTATTCGGATCGCGCCAATACCGATCCGAATATCAGATCGGTGCATCGCTACTCTTTTATCCAGCTCATCCCAATCCAACTCTATAGGGTGTAGGGTTAGGGATTGTGGGGGCCAGGTCTCCTGCCAGAACACGTCTAATACTTACTACATAACCCGGAGATGTGCTTAGAGTAGCTAGCTTGTCGGAAGATTTTATGATTTTCAGTGGGTGTGTCCAGACTGGTAATTTAATCACAAATGCTCGATAAACAAGGCCATGTAGAGAGAAAGGACAGAATGTGTTCCGTTAGAAACCCCACCCACCACAATACAGGCACAGCATCATAAACGGAGGGTTGTGGCCCAAGGAAAATGGATTACAGAGAACAGGCAGTCCAGTTACCGGATCGGAATTCCAGCTTTAAGAAAGAACTCCAGTCCTGTGCAGCTTGCAAGATTATTTACCTCTTCCTTAACTGAATCAGTAATTCAACATTTAATGTGCCCTGCTTTGTCTGATGTAGAACTGGTCAGATATTCACACAGAATTGCCTACCCTTCCTTATAGAATTTCCTGCTGGATTTAAATTCTGTTTGTGATCCTTTGGAAAGCTGCTGCAGGAGCTTCAAATTAATTATTAAAGCATCAATAAGGGGTATTTGGACACTAAGTGGTGGTGGTGGGGGGTCATTGTTGGCTTTTTTTTTGGCCAGATGGGAATTTTAAGTGAGAGTGCAAGACATAATGTTGGGGAAGGTCATTTTCTTGGGGAATATCAGACAGTCACACTGTCAGTAATGGAGGATTCCAGAAGGTCAGCCTAGGTCAGTGTGGAGAACCCAACAGACACATGGAATATTACCCAAAATCCCAGAATGACCTGTAATCGGACACCCTGGGTACATCATAAGTAAAAGGTGGGACATTCTGCCATTTCCTTGAGGTCCATAATAAGCAAGTTGGCCACACAATGAAATGTATTATTCAAACGAGTAAAAAACCCTTTAAGCATATTGCAATCAGTAGTTTCAAGGTGTCCAGCAGGATTATAGAGATTAAAGGGAAGATTCTTCCGCAAAATAATGCCTCCAGAATTACAGGCAGTTACAGCTAACACTGCTGCTCTGGTTATGTTTAATGGAGTCTATAAATCGAGCACAGCAGATGCATCTGATATTGGGCCCATTTGTTTTGTCAACCCTAGGCTCACTTTGCAGAAGAGAATAATGGCAGGCCTCAGACGGCAGGCCTCAGACGGCAGGCCTCAGACGGCAGGCCTCAGACGGCAGGCCTCAGACGGCAGGCCTCAGACGGCAGGCCTCAGATTCCCCCCACTATGACTTTCGCTTAGTGCCCCACCTCACTCACTTACCTACTGAAGCCGGCCACTGCATGGCAACGTTGGGCGCAAACTGTGCATACACTTCTGGACAAATGGCTATGAGGGTGGTCTGCCAAACAAGTAGGAGAGGCTTCAGAAACACCGTCCACTGCATCACCAGCCAAGCAACAATCACACTATTCAACTATTACACAGACCATAGCCAGTTTCCTCAGTATAAACCCAAACAAGGTGAGCAGACTAAACAGGCTCAGCTGGGTTTCATTACCTTGTTGCCATGTGATCTATTGCCAAGGAGACCAAAAGGATCCCTCAAACCCAGCTTTTGTTACTGTTCTGTCTTACACTAGTAAACAGTCTTATTGAAATGCTGCTGGGAAGTAGATGTGCTTTTTTGTTTGTCTCCTTTCAGGAGTCTGACAAAACTTATGGGGAATAGACTGGAGCGGACAATAGCATTTAATAAAAATGTATTCTGTGCTGTGTCCTGTCCAATAAACTGTAGGTGTACCTTTTTAGTCTGAAAAATACAAAACATTGACCCCTGCTGTCACACCCTGCATTCCTATCCCTTCGTTCTCTCCGTTGTGTGGTGCTAACGAGCCACACCTGTTACTTGTTTAATCCTGCCTCTCATTACAGCCCTTGTGTGGATCACCCCAGGTGCCTCTTGTCTGCTCCCTCATCAGTGATATATATAGTGCCTCCCTTTCTTGAGCTCCCCAGTCCAGTCATTGATATTGCTGCCTGTATGTGCTTCCCAGTCTGCCCTGTGTCCTTTGTTCTCGCCTGATTCTCCCTTTCCTGCTTTGACCCCTTGTGGTCCAGTTTCTTTTGCCTTGCTTGTTGTTTTTGTTTAATAAAGCCCCTTTTGGTTTTCCCCACGTTTGCCTTTGCCTCCGTCCTTGCCTGTGACGTGACACCTGCCCCATCCTCAAAAAAATGCTAATTTTAATATACATAAGTGGTTTTTTTGCAATTTCATTTGAGTTGTTGCCACTTGGTTATTATATTTCTACATCCAAAAACGCAATTCATTTACCCCCTGGCTACGGTCCAGATGGTGACAATATAATGCCCATGTGGTTTTAGCTGCAGAAACCCAGACAGAAGCCACTCGTATATAAACCCAAAAATATATTACTGAACGCAGAGTGCAGGTCAAGCCAGTGGAAGTCAACAAAGATGGAAGCAGATATAAGAGTCTAGGTTTCATCCACTAATGCAGTGATTCCCATCCCGGTCCTTGGGGACCCCAGACGGTCCACGTTTTCACTCCCTCCTAGCTCTCTTCTAGACAGTCTACATTTTTGCTCCATCCCAGCTCCCTACCAAATGTCGGTGTGGATAGTCTGGCATAAATAAAGTTAATTATTCCACATAATGTAACATTCCTTCCTATCCAAGGCAATCACATGCATGGGGGGTGGGGGATGCATGATGACCTGCTCCTCTGGTTTGCAAAATTAACCAAGGGTGACTGGCCAAAAGCAACATGCAATATGGTTCATAATCCTGTCCTAATTTAGAATGCTATTTTTAAAGACCTGAACACTCAAGATCTTAGCTGGCAATTAACCAGGTGAATATACAGTACACTATATAAAACCATAAAAGACTGTAAATCAGGGAGGCACACGTGCCAAATAAAGTGAACAGGTTATGTATCTCCCTGATTTTGTGTGAGTATTTTGTTCTGCTGCTACATTTAACAGCAAAGGGAAGTTAATTGATGCATTTTTTGTGAATATTTACCCCAAAGGGCAGTAGTACTACAATTTCCAACTTAGTTTCTGTTGTGTGGAAAAACCATTACAGTGGCATAAATTTTGAATTGAATTTTGAAGTTGTAAATGACCTGCTCAGTACCTAGGGCACATTTTGCTTACTGGAGATGAGCTCACACACTCCAGACAGCAGAAGCACTGACCCCCCAATCATAAACCCATCCATCTGCATGGCTGCTTATCTAGTACAGTGCCATACTGAGCCTGCAGCCTATCTCAGGAAGCTCAGATGACACCCTGGACAGGATGCCAGTATGTCACAGGGCACATACCCCTACACACAGTCACAGAATATGGGGAGCTTGGAGCAGAAGTTACGAACCAGTCTGAGGAAGCCTCATCTACATCATAGCAACCATCTGGGAGATCCAACCAGCATGATCTGCTTCTCAGGGTAGCCCTTTTCAGCAAGCACCTTAATCATACTGGTGGAACTTACTTGGGACCACGCCTCTTCCTAGCTGTGTCCCATTTCTCCTCACTAGTTTCCCGATTTCTGTGCATCAGGCACTATGGCTAGATGAGATTTTTTTGGTTTTTCCAGAGTTCAAGCGTTTACCCCTGTGAGTTCTGCTTACTTGTGTACCCTATATCTGCTTTGTTGCTATATCGACGGACTGCCATCATATATCACCGACCTCTGTCTAATTGACCGACAATGAGTACTGCCTCAGCCCTCTTATTGCAGATGTCCATAGCCGACACTTTGGCCGTCCATCGATAATCGCTTCAGCCTTGGGATTTGGATTCTGATTGCTAAGTTTATGACTTGGACTGTTGACCTAGTGTTTTGTGCTTTCCATTAAAACCTGATGACTCAGAACTGATCTGCGCAAGTGTTCTTCCTTCTGTGTTCCTCATAGAACACTCGTTAAATATGCATGGACTCACAGATCAGATGAGTATCCAGCATCTGGCAGAAGCCCTGGGAAAGCAGGGCATTCCCTTGGGGTGACTGGCTGTGATCAGGGAACCCTTTGAATTCTTCAGTGCGGGCATGATGGAACTGACTTCCCAAGTCCAGCACCTGCAGCTGCACTGTCCGGCTGCTTCGTCAGCCGACACAGCCAGTGAACCATGCCTGTCTGCTCTGGGCCAGTGTAACGGTGATACAGGGTCTTGCCAATCTTTTCAGTCACAGTGTTCCCTTATCTTCAAGCTGCAGACCTCTTCCTTTCCCTCCAAGCACTCCTGGGTTTCATTTATCATCAGATTGCTTACCGGACCTGCCAGAGAATGGGCTATTGCCTTTTTGCAATTGCTTAGTCAGTTTTACAGAGGCAATGAAAGGCATCTTGAACCAATCCAAGTATGGGACTACTTGAGTTGTCACCGCTTCACCAGGGTTGGTGGTCCATCTCCAACTCTGGCAGTCTCCAGTGGATGGGGCCAGCAAGCCCAATTTGACTCCTTCCATGACTTAGCTGAACCGATAAAGGAAATACAGTAATCCCCCGCTATATTGCTGTTCACCTATCGCGCCACCGCTATATCGCGGATTTTTCCCGACGCGTCACAGTTCTCTGCGTATCACGTACCTTGCTTGTGGTCCGATTGTTTTCATTTTGTTTTAAGTCCTACGATGGCTCCCAAGCGTCCTGCATCTTCTAGGCCTTCTGATAGTAGTGAGCCTAAGTGCCAGCGCCATTCAGGAGAAGGTAAAACTCCTGGATATGCTTTGGGAAGGAAAGAAGCAGCCTGGAGTCTCCAGAGTTTCCTGGAGTTTGAAGATGAGTTCCCTGACCTTTCCAAGGTGCCTGCAGAAAATCTGTTTTCTTGTTCAGTAATGCTCACACTTCTTTCCTTCCTTCTCACTGTCCTTTTGACTGTGCGATAGACTTACTTCCTAGTACAAGCCCTCCTAGGGGCTGCCTATATTTTCTTTCCACACCTAAGACAAGACCATGGAGGAAGACATTGGCCAAACACTGACAGCTGGTATAATTCACCCTTCTTCATCTCCAGGAGGAGTGAGATACTTCTTTGTAGAAAAGAAAGACTTGCTCCATCCTTGCATTAATCACAGTGGCTTAAATGAAATCACTGCCTGGAACTGTATGAAATGCAGGGAGTATTTGCTCTCCTCAGTCTTGGATCAGCTCCAAGCCACCAGGGTCTTCAATTAGCTGAATGGGTGAAACGCTTATCACTTAATTAGAAACTGGGAGGGCAATGAATAGAATATGGCTTTCAACAAGGGCTGAGGCTAGGGACCAGTGGCAGCAATCGTAATGTTGCCGATTCGAATCCTGTAAATGCCAAGAGTGATTCTACATTGCTGGGTCCTTGAGCAAGACCCTTAACCTGCAATAACTTCATCCTGGTTATGACATTAACCTACATCCAGCCCTGCAAGTAGGACCCCAACTTCCATGGGAAATTTGGGGGCTGGTTGCAGGATTGGTACTTCAGCCACCAAAAATCAGATGTTTTCGTGTACCTCAACGATAAACTGTTCTTCTCTCGCAACAAACAGGATCACATGCAACGTGTCTGTGAAGTTTTCTAGGAGACTCCTCTTAAACAATCTATTTGTCAAATTTGGAGAAGTGCAAATTCCAGCAGCATAAGGTCTTGGAACAATACATACTGAAAGTGCCTCCGGGACTAGGGTGGGGGCTGCCTCATTCCAACTATCTTCAATTAACACTCCCCAAGCAAGATGGTCTCTGTTTTTAATTCGTTTTTACTTTCTGATCTCTTGCAGAACTGAGGCTAAGAACCACAAGCCTGATCAATTGTATTCAGAGAAGAGGAGGATAAGGGTGTCATGCCTCGCCGGTGGACCAGCAATGGGAGGCGGCTGACCCCGACCAATACCGGGACTCCATGTTAGATGCCCGACATCGCAGCCCAGTGTGAGGTATTGTTGATGCAAAGAGACATACTATGCGTTCATTTCCCTGTCTCCCATATAGCTCCGTTCCGCCCTGCCTGACTCTCCGTGCAACCTGTCTCAACCTCCCTCCTGCCCTTCCTCCCCTTGCTCTTCCTCCTCGTGAGTTCCCCATGTGCTTTGTCTGTGTCTTCGGACGGACCCCCCAGCTATCGACCCCTTTGCCTGCGACACTGACTACGGATCCGGACCCTGGCCTGCCGCTTGTTCCCGATCTCCTGGTTTTAGACCCTGCCTGCACGACCACATCTCTGCCCGCTCCCAGTCACTGTTCTATCTGCACAGTTAAGTAAAGGCTCTGTGCGCAATCCCTCTGTTGGTCCAAGTGGGTTTGTGACAAAGGGGGACCCCACTCACCCATTGCTTTGCTGGTGCAGTGTCCTGGGTAAAGTCTTTTTTAAATTTAACCTTTATAGTCCCTCATGGGGAAATTCTTTTTACGCCTCCATCAACTTGCTCTTTGTAGAACAAGCTGTCTGCGAAGGACAGCCACCTGCTGGGGCGCCCAGGGAGCTGGGGGTTATGCTGAGGCTGGGTTTGAACCGGCGACCTTGTAGTCAATAGATTACACTGCACAACAAAGTTTTTGCTTCTTGAACACTGTCTGGTGTTCCTTATAGACTTTTGGCCGCTGATCACGAAAATCATATCCAGATTTGCCCATCACATACTGTTTCATCGAAATCTTCAGTTTTGTTATGTATTTTTCTTATATATGTGTCCAAAAATGTTCATTTCTTTAAGAGACCTATGAACAATGTTTCGTACAATCTGGGCATGTCCAGGCATGGAATCAGGCCAGGTTGGAAACTATTCTGTGGAAGTTTGGAGCCTAGGCAGGCCTGGCTTGACCGGAGCCAGCTTGACACTGCCTCAGCAGGCTATGAAAGCGGCTTGCATACACAGATGCTGCTCATTGGGTTAATAAAGACCTGATAGTGTGTATGTATTGTTTCAGAATATAGTATTGCCTCAGTAGCAAAGTAACAAGTAAGCTAGATGCTATAGATGTTTGCAGTATGATTAGTGTTGGTCGATATGTCTGCTACTGTATATTTGAGACGAATATACGCTGGTGCCTCAGAGATGCTCAGTGACTGCTCTTATGAAGAAAGCATATCATCTGTACTTTGGCTGTAAAATTGATGATCAAGACAAGGAATGGGCGCCTCACATTTGTTGTGTGACAAGAGCCTGACTCAGAGGAACTCGAAAGACAATGCCGTTTGCTGTCCTGATGATATGGCAAGAACAGAAAGACCATGTGAAGGACTGTTACTTCTGTTTGACTGTGTCTGGTTTCTCCGCCAAAAACAAGAAGTCAGTTGAATACCCTAATCTACCTTCAGCAATGAGACCCGTGCCACATGACAACAATGTTCCAGTCCCGAAACCACCAGAGTAATGTACCTCAGACAAAGCAGATGAAGAAACTGCAATGCAGGGAACTAACAGGGACAGTGATCCGGATTTTGAACCGTGCTCATCAGATGATCCACATCTCATAACACAGTCAGAATTAAACGATCTGGTCAGAGATTTGGGTCTGTCAAAAGCAAAAGCCGAATTGTTGGGTTCGAGACTACAGGAATGGTGTTTGCTGCAGCGTGATGCACCTGACATTGAATACGAATGAAAATCAAGAGCAAAACACTTCTAATTATGTTAAACTTAATACCGTATGAGAAACATAAACGTGATTAAATACGTTATTGCCAGTAAACAGTTAACTGTCTATTTCTCAGAGTTCCCACATGATGCAGCAAAACCAAAACTATATTTGTGCAATCAGCAAAAACTTTTCAGGAAGCAAAACTGTTGTGCAGTGTTATAGATTGACTATACAATTTTCTACTTCTGTTTTTCTCAAAAACTGTATGTGCTAGAAAGAAAATGAAGTCAGATTTGAATTCAGCAGCAAAAACTCTTTAGGAACACCACTTTTTATTTCGGAAGCAGAAACAAAGTTCAAATTTGTTGCCCAGTGTTATTCAATAGAAAAAAAGTAATTAGTGGCAGCCCTAGAATTAACACAAAGGGGAGGACGTGGGTCATTGTCACCAAAGTAGTTAATCAAATCCTGGGCAAGAGTTACTGAGATGAGAAAAAAAATGACAAAACTAGCAAAAAATTGTATACATCTTATTATACAAATTGATTGATTGATGTATGGATTATTGCAGGTTACATTCAATAAAGCTGAAAGATTTATGTGGTTTTGTGTTACTAATTTTTGGCTACCTATTTAGGGAAAATGGTTAAAAGAACAAATGACATAATTTTAATATACCTATGAAGTTAAGGTAATATCAATTGCTCTGCACAAAAGACAAAGACTGTATTTCATCATAACATTTCGGAAAAAATCTCATGAGAATGACATATTTTAATATTTGGTTAATGGTCTAGCTTTAACTTTTGATGTATGTATTTTTTATTTGTGTTTTTATTATTTATTTGTAACAAAATACTACTTTCAAGAAAGTACAAGCTCAATGAACAGATGGCTATAAGAAAAGAGTGGGAATTGTATTATAAGAAGGGATGGTAAACAATTATTATTTTAAATACACACCTTGGCCATTAATGGCATATACCACATGTACATATAATTGCAGGTCCTCAACAGGTGCATTGAAATATTAGTTTAATCCCAACCCTGTTATCATTTTACATATTAGCAAAACTGCTTGGCTCTGGTATGGAGCAGCCACTAAGCAGGATAGGAACAGACTGCAGCGGGCTGTACGGACAGCAGAAAAGATCATCG